CATTTGAAAACGTATTATGTAAAATATGAACAAGTTTTTAATTATTTTTAATAATAAAAGAATTTTAATAATAATAAAAAATAATCATTTTAATAATAATAAAAATAAATAAAAATTTCATAAAAAATTATCATACTTATTATAAAACCCAGGTTGTGTGTGTGTGTGTGTGTGTGTGTGTGTGTGTGTGTGTGTGTGTGTGTGTGTGTGTGTGTGTATGTGTGTCTGTACGTTTATATATTGGATCGGATTTCATACATTTTTCAACTGATTTCAACAAAACTTCACAGGACGACGTAAAATTACCTTGCGGTGGTTCTGACAGCGCCAAAAATTGGAAAAATACAATTGTTTTTGCACGAAATCAATTTGAAAACACGATTAAGAGGAATCGCGAGAATGTAAGGGGGATAACTCATATCGAGTTATACTTATTATAAAACCCAGGTTGTTTATATGTGTCTGTGTTCGTTTATATATGGGATCGGATTTCCTAGATTTTTCAACCAATTTCAACAAAACTTCACTTTTTTTTGGCAGGTAGTGTTTCTTATTGTCTTGCACACTTTTTTCTTTATTTTTACATTCAGAATGTTTTAAAAATTCCATTTACAAGACAATTGTTTATAATAAAATTCTATTCAATCGGTAGACTGATAACGATTGAAAACAATGATTTTGTTTGAGTTTGGGTTTGACCAATTCATAAAAAAAAAAAAAAATTAAGACATGCGTGTCCATCAACCTTAAACAATAATCTTTGTCAATTTTCTTTTTCAGTCTTTATGATGGTCGATACTTGATCTATCTCTTACTGTTACATCCTCGGGCAATGCCGGGCTCTACTGCTAGTTTTTAATAAAGTAAGTTGGCATATAAAAATAATTCAATAAAACAAACTTGTTTTTAATTATTTTTTTGATAAAGTAAATGCAATAATGCAAAACAAAATGAGGCAGTTTTTTTGTTTTTAATTATTTTTAATTTTAATAATGTAAATCATAATGTAATTTAGTGGTGGTTTTTGGTGTTAGAAGTAATGATTAAATGCAAAAATGACAAAAGTAATAGTGGTATTTTATCAGGGTTGGTGCATACTACTTCCATCCCCACCTCCAACTGGGTGAGGTGGGAGCCCAATCCTGATTGGGGGACCTAGGCAGTGCTTTGTGACCCTTGTCATCTTATCAGCTTTTGCTTTTTTATAGCTACATTTATATTCATCCATAATGATATGGAGATCTTATCATCTGTTTGAATCTCCTGACCTGTTTGACCCTGTTATGCATGTCCTCCTCTGGTATTTGGGGGGGGGGCACCCAGGTTACTTCTATTTTGTTCCACAGTGGGGGATTCAGGGACTAACACCACTTCCAGGCAGGGTGCTAAATCACAAACAGATACAGTAGACACCCTTCCATCCGGATACTTTATGTTGGCATAAGTCGGATCACTTTCTAAGAGTTCAAATTGGTCCACATAAGAATCGGTATTATAATTCCTTATGAACCTCCTTAATAATATGGGACATGGTGACATTAGCCAGGATGGGAAAGAACTCCTGTGTGATAAACAATGAGGAAATGCAAAGAAACACTCATGAGGTGTTGCATTTGCAATGATCTTACAGAGTGTATCACTTCAGAAAGCACCAATTCGCAGTACTTCTCAGCTATGTTTTGTCATCTTACAACTAACTGAATCACCTTCCATATAGTGCCATTAAATCATTCAACCTTTGTGGATGATGTGGAATGGTTTTACTTGTCGTGACCTCTTTTTGGAAGAGGTAGTCTCTCAATTCCTTAGACATGAAAGATGTACCTCTGTCAGAGTGTATGTAACCAGGCATCCCAGCTAAGCTGAACAAAAAAATGTAAGGATTTGATTACTGAGGTAATGTATATGTTTGGACATGGAAAAAAGAATAGAAACCATGAATATTTGTCAGTTACTACCAGTAAATATATATTGCACATGGCAGAAGGCATGGATCCCTTAAAGTTAATACTTAGTCTTTCCATGGATCTGGTCGCATTGATAAGAGTGTTTTCTGGCAAGTTATAGGTTGAAATCAATAATCAATAAGGGCACTGGGCATGTTCGCGTATTATGCGAAAATGGATACATAATTTTTCTTATAAAATTCAAGCTTTAGTAAAAAATAAAAAATTCCCACTTGAGAAAAAGGCGCTTGAAGCTTTTGATCAATTAAAGAAAGAACTGATGGAGGCTGCACTAAAACCAATAGACGAAAGTTTGCCTTTCAAGATGGAATGTGATGTGCCAAATGTGACTATTTCCACAGCCCTTAGCCAAAATGGACACCCAGTAGTGTTCATGTCAAAAACACAACAGGGAAGTGAAACAAAGTATCATATAATAGAGAAGGAGGCTATGGCAATTATTGAGGCAGATCACGTCAGAATATAAATCTTTCAAGACACCTAGACATGTGGTAAAATAAGACTCACCGTTAAAACGAAGGGTTAGATTTACAACTACATAGCTCCTTGAGTTAGTATTTAAAGTTTTCTGGACCATGGTGATACCCTTACTGGATGGGTGGACTTCCAAGTTCAGTTCTTGCATGACTCTTTCACTGATATAACTATTAATGCTACAGGTATTGAGTAGAGCACTTAATTTTTTTTTACTAACCACTACATGTGTTGCAGTGCAATAGAGTGCCCATGATACATTAGCAGGCGTGGTCAGTATATGAGGACCAGCCACTGCTGTTAACAAAGATTTGGAATTACATGCACAAGCGTAATATCTTTCCTTTGAACATTTTTTTACAAGTAGCTCTATGAGCAGAACAGCAGTCCCACAAATATTAGGCAAATCTACAAAAATAACATTTACATTTGGCTTAATAAGTCATGGCTAATGCTGGTTCGACTGGAAATTCATCACATACTGGGTTAGAGTCGACTATTGCTGCCATTTGTGCTTCTGGCATAGTATATAAGTCATTATTTCTTTTTGCTAAGTCCAGTGCAGATGCTTGAATGTAAGCCGTTTGTAGATTGAGGGTTTTATTTTCTAAGAGATGCTGTCATATGGAATTAAGCCTGAAATGAAGCTTCTCATATCTTTGTTACCACATTCTTCAGCAGTATGGTATTTGAAATTGCAGTTTCTTTTCAGCTTTTCTAGTTCTCTGAAAAATTCATTCAGAGACTCTCCTGGCTTCTGTCATCTTGTGGCCAACAGGTGCCTTGCGAACACCTCATTGGACATTTTAATAAATAAAGCATCCAATTTTCTTATAGCCATGTCAAAGTCTGCACATTCTTCGATATACTCAAATACACTGGAACATACAACTCAGGAGAGCCTGGTATTTGTTTGGTATTCTCTCCTGGTAATCATCTATATAGATTAGTAGGATAGTTCACCAATGGCGGTAGTCTCTCGCAGCTGCTGGTGAATAAGGTTCAACATCAAAGTATTTTGGTTTCCATGTTGTTTTCATTCTAGATTTTATCTACACATTTAGTTGAATAAATTGTAGTAATTGTAAGAGAGCTCAGGACAACAGTAAAAGTGCTAAGCTTTATTCAACTAAATGAAACTCAGAAAGAAAAGGAAAATAGAAGTTACAAGTTAAATAGCCAACTGGGGTGAGTCCATTGCTTGTACATAATGAATGTAGGATAATACTACCACAAGATGTTTGGGAGGTAGAGAACTAGACCCTTGCACTGGCCCTGTACTTTATTACACTGAAGCAAGAAAAATTAATGACAGTAATTATAACCATAATTTGTGACCATTAATATTAATATTGAAACAAAAAATAATATCGGTGGTTACCAAAAAGGTAAAAACAATGATAAATTAAAGAATTAGTTTTCTAATATCTTTCTTTTATCTTTTCTTTTCACTGTTTCAAATTTCATTTTAAATATATGTACAGTTTTTACAAAATAATACTTCTTTTAATATTTGAAACATAAAGTATTTAAAGTGGGATTCATTTTAAATAAGTTGATTATCTTAATTTAAAATGTTAATTTCATTATCTGTAGACTCAGAAAGACCACTTGAGCTTAGACATTTTGTCATGGATTAGTTTTTATTTGTTGCTTTTTTCTATACATGAATAGGTCAATAAGTTTGTCAGTTCACACATTGGTTATTGGCTTTTTGGCTTTTTCACTTTTTCAATGTTAATTAATGGAGAAAATAGGGGTTAAGTGCATTAACAATGAAAGAGATAATGTTGAAAAATAAATTTGTTGTGTAAAATAAATACTTTTATTTTTATTACTGAATTATTGATGTATGTTACTCCAAGATAATATACAAATGACAACCTTTTGAGCACATTTTGATCTGAAATTTTTCATACATAATGTTAAAATGTAAATTTGTTGTGTTAAATGATTTAATATAATAAATATTTATTATAAATGCCTTTTTCATTATTAAGCTACAAAAATTTGTTGATAAACCTACTTGTAACTATGTAAAAAAATGCTTTAAAAAAAGAAAGAAATTATGTTGAAAAATAAGTACGTTTTTTAAAAATAAAAATAAAATCTATCCTCTACATTACTAACTATTGGGTAACTAACTATATTTTGTAAAAAAACATAACTGACAAGCATAAAAAAAATCCTAAAAAACACTTTCAACTTCACCTTATTTCAAATCGTCTGATATCAAGAAAGAAAGATTTAGTTACAAATTGTAATTTTAATCAAGATATGTCTTCTTAATTAACTTGCTTTTTTTAATTTTCCAATACAAATTGTTGGATGTAAACATAGTTTTGATTTCAACATGACAACTTTTGGGATTTTATTTTTAATTAGCAGACGAATTGTTGTTGTTTTTTTTCCTTTGGTCTACGGAGTTTGCGTGTGTACAACTTATTTATTTTTTAATTGAAGTCCCACTTTCATAATAAAAGAAGATATTATTTTCTTTTTTGTGTGTGTTTGTTTTTCTTCTTTTTTAAAAAAATAATTATCTTAATCTTAACTTACCATTTTGGGTAAACAATTTTGAAGGAAAGATCCAAGCTTTGAATCCACATCAACACTTCCCTGGGGAACTCCGACATGATTAAGTTTTTATTGGATAAATAAAACAAGGCTTAGCTAGTCTCTAATTGACGTGTGTTGTCATCTCCATGGCAATTGAATAAACACTTTGACTGTTTTGATTACTTCCTTTCTTCCTCTCTTTTTTTTTTTTTTTTTTTCTATTTCGCTTTATCTTCTCTTTTGTCGTCTCACACTTTTTAGTCTTTTTTCATTCTTTTTTAATCGTTTCTCCACCTCTTTCTCTTTTTCTATTTCACTCTCTCAGTGTTCTGTTTTTGTTTTTATGCTTTCATGTTCTTTTACCCTTTTTACTCTTTTTTTTCTTCTGTTTCATTAAATTCATTTTGTTACCCCTTCTTTATTTTTAAAAATAAATTTCGTTTTTCTTTTTCATTTTACTTTTACATGTCCTTAGTTTTTTCATTAATTCTTTCATTTGTTTCTTTCTTTCTTTCTTTCTTTCTTTTTTCTTTCCTTCCTTCCTTCCTTCCTTCTTTTTTTATCATTTCCTTTTTATTCTTTTTTAGATTTTCTTTAATTCATTCCTTTTTAATTCTTTCTTACCTTCACTTAATCCTTTCTTTCTTTCTTTTTTTTATTCAATATTGTTTTTTAATGTTACCTTCATTTTTAAAAAAGTATTTCTCACTTTTAATTTATTTTCTTTCATCTTATTTTAATTTTTTCTCCATTTCATTCTTTTTATCAGTTTTTTTACTCTTCTTGCTTCACAGCATTATCTCATATTCACCATCACATACACATATACACATACACATAGACTTTTTCTATTTGCTCTTTCAATTTAATTTATATTTCCCACAGACCACTACTTTTTAATCATTTTTTAGCCAGAGGACAATTCAAGAATATTCTTGAAATAACTCACCTATGACCAAAATATTCTATTATATTTTGCTAAAAAAGGAAAAATAATCTAATATATTTATTGTGTCATGATATATACTTTTTAGATGAAAATAAATATAATACAGAAGTGAAGCTAAGAATTGTTATTCGATATCTTTAATTTGAAACCCAGAGAATGTCTTTATTTAAACTTAAAAAAGATAACCTTTTTCTTGTATGCAATCCTTTAAAAGGGTAAAAAATAAATATTCATTTTTACCTCTTAAAATTTGTTTAAGTAAATATTCGGGCAATCCACTTTCTTGAATAATTTAAATGAAAAGCTTTCATTGCATCTCGTACAATAATAGAAAGGAGGAAGTATCTGCTATTGAGTCAGAATTTAGTTCTAAAATTAAACAAGACAAGATAGAATAATATTGATAAAATGGAATGATATCAATATTGATAGAATAAAAGGATATCAATATTAATAGTATAACATAATATCAATATTGATAAAATGGAATGATATCAATATTGATAAAATAAAAGAATATCAATATTAATTGTATAACATAATATCAATATTGATAGAATAAAAGGATATCAATATTCATAGTATAACATAATACCAATACTGTTAAAATGGAATGATATCTATTGGTAAAATAATATTGATAGAAAAAAAAATTCAATATTGATAGAATAACAGGAAATCAGTACTGACAGAATGACAGAAAAGCAACTTTTTTTAACCTAAAAGATTTTACCTAAAATGATTTTGCAGTTAAAAAACACGGTTTTTCATAATAGAATTAATAAAAAATTTATAATACATTAATTTCAAGAATTTTTAGAAATCAGAAACAATTTATTTGGTCCATTAAAACACATGGTCTTTTTAAGTGTACATTTTGATTGCTTCCCATTCAACTTTTTTGATATAAAGTCTATAACAGGCTTCATTTATAACCTTGGTTATTAACCTGTACACTATACAAAAAATATTCACAGTTGGACCTGCAGTTCCTAAGACAGACTCTAGAACTGTAAGAAATATTTTTCTAGCAACCATCATTTATTACCATACAACCTTAAGGAACAGCATATCTAGAATAATAGCGAGTGACATCAACAGATAAGAATAAGATCTTGTCTGCTGTACAAATTTAAACTGAGAACAAAAGCAGAGAAGTAGCCTATCTAAAGCATTTTTAATAACCTATATATTATTTATTAACAGATAATCTTAAGAAAATCCTATCTAAAATATTAGCAAGTGACCTATGTAAAATCTTGTCTATTGTACAAATTTAAACTAGGAACAAAAGCAATAGCAGCAAGCCATAGGATATGTAAAGTATTTGGTAACAATGAAGTTAGTAACCATACTGCTCAAATATGGTTCAAGATGTACTGAAATGGAATTTTTTTCTTGAAGATAAACATTTTAAACAATGACTGGTAAGAAACATTGATACTGACAACTGGATGATTTATGTTGAGTCTAATCTGTTTTATGTATCCTATGTTTGCATTAATGTTCAACAAAGTGATGGAAATATATATTGTCGTAACCCCCAACACAGTGGGAAAATATCAACAAGTAGCCAGTACGTAAAACTAGCAGAAAAAATGTGTACACTTTTTGTTTACCTAATATGAAAATTTATTACTATCAAAACAAGGAGTCTCTTTCTCTTTTCAAACTCCACTCTGGTCTTTTGAACAGGAGTATAGGTTCATCCTTGTTTCCTGTTTAGGATTAAGTTTTCAGTTCTTTTTAAAGTCTACTCCAATTCTATAATCCTAACGTCTCTACCTGAACTCTGAAATTTTATTCATTAATTAAATCCTGACCTCTTCAAGTCTAGAATTAGCTGTTTATCTTTCCTGTTATCTTGCCTTTTCTTACACTAATACAACCCCACACAATAACGCTCTACCTTGAGTGGCCCGTGGGCCTTTTATTAGTAAAAAAAATATGATTTTTCAATCAGCTTTCAAATTGTATTAAAGTTAACATTATTAAAAGCAAGAATGATTAACAAGCGAGTTATGTAGATCAAAGCTTAGTTAGTACGTCAAGACCAGAAAGAAGAACAGCACTTGTCACAAAAGAACTCCAGTGATACTAAATAGACATTGTTGCACTCGAAACCCAGCTTACTGATGAAGGTCCCCTAAGAGAAGAAGGGGATGGATATACCTTCTTCTGGAAAAGAAAATCTCAAGCTGAAAACAGGATTCATGGTGTAGGATTTGCGACCAGAACAGCTCTGATTAAAAGTATAAAGTATATAATTTCTCCCAGTTGGAATTAATAAACGCCTCATGAAACTGTGCATTCCTCTTGGTAAGTTGACACCTCACATCAGTGTGTACACACCCACGCTCATGAGCCCAGATGACACCAAAGATCAGGTTATCAAATCAACCCCCCAGAATGACAAAGTCGTTATTCTTGGAGATTTCAATGTCAGACTAAGAAGAAGCTACAATGGCTGGGAAGGCGTACTCAGCAGACACGGAGTAGGCAAGGTCAATGACAACGGCCAGCTCCTCCTTGGCAAGTGTGCAGAACATGGCCTCTGCATTACCAACACCTTGTTCAGAATGGATGTATCTGAGGCCAAAACACTGGCGCATGATTGATTTCATCATTGTATGCGAATGCGACGTCAGGGACGTCTGTGTGACTCACGCAATGAGAGTAACTGAATGCGGGACTGACCACAGGCTGGTCAGGGCCATACTGACGCTGCACATACCACCGCTTCACAGAAATTGATCCAAGATTGTTAAGGTTTCTTACAACGTTGCCAGACTGAAAGACCAGACCTGCCTTTCCCAGTTTCAGTAGCTGCACGAAAAGCTCCATGACAGTCTGACCACCATTGGAAAATGGTCTTATTTCAGGGACGCTGAGATTGCTAGGGTCACTGAGATTGCTAGGGATGTTCTTGGAGCAAAGACCAGAGCTCATGAAGACTGGTTTTGACCAGAACAATGAGAAGATCAAGGAGGCCCTCCATGCAAAGAACAAATCTTATATCGAGTGGCAGAATGACCCATCTTCCGTCTCCAATAGATAGATTCAAAACTCTACAGGCCAAAGTGTAGTACGATCCAAGAACGATGCAAAACCAGTGGTGGCAAGACAAAGCTGCTGAAGTTCAATACTACACTGATACTCACAATGCCAAGAAAGTCTTCAGCTCACTGAGGACAGTCTTTTGTCCCTCTGCATCAGGCTGCTCTCCTCTGCAGTCTTCAGATGGCACAAATCTGATTAAGGACTAAGAAGGTCTAAGCAAGCGTTGGCAAGAACATTTCAGCAACCTGCTTAACTGACTGTCATCAGTTAACTCAGACGCACTGAACCAGGTCCCTCAGCAGCCGATACGGGACACACGCGCCAACTATTGCCGAGATCAAGAAATCAATCCTTCGGCCGAGCTCTGGCAGAGCATCGGGAAAGAACGGAATTCCAAATGCCCTGGGAGCCTTTCATGGCGTTCTGCAGAGTATCTGGGAGAAGAAGATGCCAGATGACTTCCGTGATGCCCTGATTGTCTCCCTCTACAAGAACAAGGGTAGCAAAGTCGACTGGAAATTACAGAGGCATTTCGCTTCTCTCCATTGCTGGAAAGATCTTTGCCAGGGTCATCCTCAACCGACTCATTACAATCTCCGAGGAAAACCTCCCAGAGTCGCAGTGTGGCTTCAGGCCAGGCAGAAGTATTGTTAATATGATTTTTGCCATAAGACAACTTTAGAAGTGAATGGATCAAAACATACCTCTATAGCCTACTTTCATTGACCTAACCAAGGCTTTTGACTCAGTCAAAAGGGAAGTACTTTGGACAGTCCTTGAGCACATAGGATGCCCACCAAAGCTCGTGACAATGATTAGGCTCTTCCATGATGGCATGACTAGACAGGTCCTCTCCAGTGGTAATGTGATGGACACTTTTGAGTTCAGCAACTGTGTAAAGCAGGGCTGTGTCTTAGCCCTGGTCCTATTCAACGTCTTCTTTGCCTGCATACTGTCCCATGCTGTCCAGGATCTGGAGCAGAGACTCTACATTCATTGCCACTCACTGCCAAGACATAAAGCCTCCAAGATCTTCTCCAG